ATAACTGATTTATTATTATTTTCCGATTGATTTGATCTCCCTATCGATCTCCTCTTTCGATATTTCGATACACCGTAGGTAGGTATATCTTCATGTCACATGTATTCGAAACCTTTTGCCTACCGACATCGTCATTCCCGACATACGTAAATCCTTTTTGGGGCGACGATCCTCATCTGCCCTACGGCGGCTGCGTGCAGGAGAGATGCATGGTTCTGTGAACTCCTATCCCCCAAACAGACCAAGCTATCTTGACATTCCACAAGACTCAACCAATGATACTTGATGTATATAATTTGAAATCATCCTCCAGTGATACAGAAATATTGGAAGATATGGAATAGCGACAGAGGTACTTGTTCTTGTTACATCTTTGGTTATCATGAGAGGTAGCATAGATCTCGTTGATTTACGAGATTAGATATTCTTTTGGAAGTTGACTACCAATAGACTACCAGTCTACCAGTCTACCAGTCTGCCACCTCCTACCTTGAATGGTACACGCCAAGTCTTTTCTTTTTTTTACGATCTGACCTCGGTGGTTGGACATGCCGCATGCGTTCTTCTAGTGAACTTCTAGTTAATCCCCATCATTCGGTAGCTACGGCTCCTCGGCGTCACCATGATTGGTTCATTATTAATTGAAAGCTTGTTGATTCTTATAACAATTTATTGCAATGGTTCCCATCATTTTGGTCTGTCATTTGGTTTATCTTCATTGTCACATCAAATTTACCGTACGTACTATCCCATCCACATTCCATCGACCGCCTCGACTACCTTCGCCTAATACTAAATGTTGTGTCTTTCATTCACTACCTATTTTCTTCTTCTTCTTCTTTGCTTCACGAGACAATCTACGCCTGGCGTGGCGTCTCTTATATATTCAAGAACTTCCATCGATAGCTTGTGACCAAATGAATCGTGATTCTTGTGACTAGCTAGCTTACCTGGCCTACCTAGGTAGTAGCTACAGTCCAACGGACTGACCTAGTTATTATTGAGGTTGATTGCCGGTAGTTCTAGCTGGCGCGTTCATGAGCCAGTGACGACTACTTTACGGTTCATACCGGCATGATTCGTCTGATATCTAAACTCTATCCACCTCGCTACCACTCAGTCTCCGTATTGTGATCAATCAAGAGATCGGTTTTTTTTCTTTTCGTTTTTTCTTCCGAGTGAAATGATTGGAAAAGGGCAAATAAACCGTTGACTTTGATGTGCGTATCCATGATTAAGATCGATTATCGGTGGAGAATTAGCTTTGACGCATTAGGAGCAACTACTAGGGATTCTCTATATTGTCCGAAGTCAGCTCCGAACCTAAGAGCCTACCTCCCTAGCTAGTATGTATCTCCATACAGTACATTGATTGAACGTTCCCAGGGTTTTCTTATTTAAAAATCTCAATCAGTACACAAGCACACGAATACACAAGTATCTACGAGCCTACTTACTCGCTACTAGTTAGCCACCAGAACACAGCGTGAGGTTTATTTGGGGTTCACGCCGATGGCTGCAGTTTGACAGGGCCCCATGTCGTAAATTGGATATCCCTAAATCTTACGTGACAGGGCAACAGACTAGCACGACCTTCATGGTTTAGTAGCTCTTTAGCACGGTCAACTCGAGATGTTGAGAATGTGATTTAATTAAGAATAAATTAATTCCATCTATATTTCTCCCAGAATCACACCATGATAATTACCTTCATCCGCACCCAGTCGACGCCAGTGAGCCCAGGTGTCGATGGAGGGCCAGTTCAATCTCAATGTCCCAGTATCCCATTCTCCCAGCAACGAATATATTAAAAGTACAAAGGACCTGCTTCCTTAGGATCTAGGTCCAAGGAACCTACGAGCCTACCTAGCAAATCTCCCCTCCAAGTCTGGTACGGACGGCAACTAAAAAAAGGCATAGTACTAAAAATGGCTGATTTAATTAATTTAATCAATTCTCGGTTGCGGAAAGCCTCGTGAACATTACTCAGTTCGGTTTGGATATTTTCAATTCTGTACTAAAACGACAAGAGAACACATAACTCAGGATAATTGTTTGACAAACGTGGTTATGATGAGATTACAAAAAGGGTACAAATGTTATTTTGCCCCGCTCATTCTTTCCTCCAAATCTCTTCCACCTTACTACCTTGCTACCTTGCTTGCTTGCCGCTCGCCACAACTTTTAGTACACGACCATCGCTTCTGCTTCGGCCCATGCCTCTGGGTCACATCTACGGATTGCCTAGCGATGACAGATTTTCATCTATTCATTCTTCTTGTTCCCGTTTGGGAGAGTGGACGCTCGAATGGGAGAATGTCACTTGATAAAAATAGTGTTTTGGAATTCTGGATTGCATTGTGGATTCAATGTAAAGTGTCTCGAGGTTCGTTGTTTATCAATTTGGAAAATCGTTCATCTATAACACTTATGGAAAATTGTGACAGCTCTGGGGCGGGCAGGGAGCATGATCGTCTCTCGAAAATCAGAAAGAAGCACAGAAAACGGCTCGATGCAGTAGCCCTGTCAATAGTCCAGTTCCTCTTTACAGGTATGATCAGTCAAGATTTAGTCATGGGCGTCATAATGTATGTATCTTTTTGTTCAGTGTTAGGAAAGCAAAATGAAGGTCACTCGACTTCCACAGAAAATGCAAGGTAGATTGGTAGGTTCATGATACTTGATATGACTGTTCTGATAATAATCGCTGAACAAGGGGGTACAGATTCGGGGAAGCGCTAAGCCTCAAGAGTACCCAGGACACCACGTTATTTCAAGCATTGTTCACTTGTTTATTACAGTAATATAAGCCAGGTACGAGCCACTTTGGCATCATCATGCATGCAATGATTCCCCTTCCTTGTAGACCACAACGAACGGGCGTGTTCCGGGGACAGGGGAATTTTGATGAAGCTTGGACAATGTCAGTTTTTTTTTCCCTTCTCATCTGGGGCTCCAAAAAATGTCACTCCAAGGAGTTGAGAAAAGTGTAAATTATGGCGAACGTGCCGATGGAGCACTCCACGTATCTACTGTTCTGCAATTAGCTTGGATATCAAGAAAGGATCTTTGGTTGGAAATATGGTTCGTTATTGATCGTTCATCCAAGACCTAGGTATTCACATACTCAACATTGAGACAGTATAACGAGTCCCAAAATCTAGATGGAAGTATTGGCAGTAACTTGAGATGACTACAATCCCAAAACAGGGCAGGCTTTCCTTCCGATTACCTTTCATACAGCCTTTTTATACACAGATAATGGAAGCACACGTAGTACGAGATACGAGAGCGATGAACGAGAGCAATCCATTCTTCAAACTCGAACCAGGGGGCTACTCAACCAACCCACAGACTATTTTTCCGCACAAGCGAAATTTAACCAACATAATCAGTGTACTTTGTCGCCAACCTCCAAACTCATAGCCAATACCTATGTAGCTACCGTAAGTAATCAATTAGGTTTCGGCAAAGCCCAGAATGTCGTATTTTTTCAACGTTCAAGGCTGGCTAGACGAAGCTCGAGCACGTTCCTAATAATCTCCCGACCTGGCAATTAATATATTCTTCCCATGAACGTTGACTGCTTTAGATGAAAGTTTCCTGCAAGGTGGGTTACACATATCTCAAAGGCTAATAATGGGTGCAGACAAATTACATATCCTAGACACCTTAAGAATTTGTCATTGATACTGATCAATAGCGAAAGTTAATCCGTCTCCTCGAAAAACTTTGTAGTAAGCAATTAGTTAGTTATGTCATCGTTATTGATGCTATATCGATGCTTTGACTACTGGTATAACTATAATACGAATAGTATTAAGATACTAAGAAGAATGTTCGGTGAGTTTTTGGAATTCCTCGCATGGCACTAACTTGATTAACCCTGGGCCTGCCTATATGAGCATCGTAATATAACTACTGCCCCTCTTATCTCAACCCTTCCGAACCTTGCAATGGGAGGGATTGCTGGATCAGATCGACCGCACCGCGACCTTGACTAGTGAACTGTGATGGTATCATTACAGCGTTCCATTTTCCATGTTTTCAATAAGATACCTATGGTGATGAGGTGGTTTGTTTGTATGTACTGGTGTTGTACCGGCAAGATCTCATCTAATCTCTGGCCTCGTTCCGAAAAGTCTGGGATGTTTTATTCCACCCCCTTCCCTTTCCCCTCCCCCTCACACCATACAATCAGCAAGTCCATATTCGCTCGAGAGTTAGAGCTGCTACATAGAATACAGCAAAGCACAGAACTGATATCTACTTGTACTACATCTGTCTGATAGGCGCAACACAGAAATGGGGATGGGAATCCCTTCTTGCTATTTTCTTTTTCGATCTCAATCCCTTCCAATGTTGGTATTGCTATCGAACTTCCTGCAGTAGCGTCTTCGCTTGGCCCTTTCGGTCAACGATAGCTTCGGAGTTTTTGCTAGATCTTAGCAGCGTTGCACGGATTCCGGATGAAGCTTACTGGTGTGATGGCTGATTACTGTATTCGAAATGAGAGGTATATTGCAGAGAATCTGTTCCAAACATTGTCAAGCACCATTGCCTGACGTGGACAGTAAGCTCACCCACCCCTTGGTAATCCGTAATACGAAACTCCCCAAAGGGTACATTGATATGGATAAAATGATCTTCAACGAGGTCTATTGGGATCGCTACCCGAGAAAGAAGGATCTAGCCTGGGAAATCAACAAATGATTGGCTGGAGTGCTCGGAAATGCGGGGAGCATGGAAATTGCGGCACACATGAAAGCAGAATAGATCTCATTTCAAGCGCTTCAACGGAGAATTACCTAGGAACCCGTTCGCACTCGAGCCTCTCCCTGGCCAACTTCAATCATACTACTTCTTTTACTGTAAATTTCCAAAAGAAGATCTATTAAGTACGGCACCTAGCAATGATACATTGGTGAGTATCTATCTTGTCTGGTCCAATTGATTGCGTCTCGGAAAAAGGGTAGCAAGGCACGTATCAAGACCGAGAATAAGAGTGTAGGAACAAACACATAGTCAAGTTACTTGAGAGGTACGTATCGTGACCATGCGGCAACAATAATCCATGAGCAAAAGAGATTTCTCCAGCTACCACTTCCATCCGACAGTCTGGTCCAGGCTTTGATGAAATTTGACTATTTGACTGCTCTGCTATGATCTGCATGGAACAATGATAGTCAGTCACGGTACGTAGCGAAAAATGCCTATAGCTGACGATCATGAAAAGCATGATGTTACAGTACCGGTACATGTTTTACTCCCCCGATTGGCGAGGAGATCAATGCGGACTCTATGTCCGCTCTTGACTGGATCAATCACAATTTTGTCAATCTGTACGTGTGTCGTGGTTGGCTAATTATAGATCGCGGGTTTAATGACTGTACGTAGGTTTTATTATTCGATTTTTCATCCACTAATTACAAGTAGAGTCTGCATGTGGAGGAGAAGTCCAAACATGACGGGAAGATGATGCTCTGCTAAGTCACTTGGCACACCTGCGAACGTCTATCTGTGCGTCCCATAGATGTCGAGAGAAATTAGCCAACGTTCACACTTCATGTAGGAATTTATCGTTGTCTTCAACGTTTTACACGAGGGGTGAAAAAGAGGCTTCACTGATTATCATGTCAAGACAAGTCAATACATCTGGAGGCTGGACTATTGCACGCCATCTTACAGCCACGAGGCCTTATTTGGGTTTTGAAGATAAGAAAATGAATCGGGATTGCCGAAAGTTTAAAGGTCTAAGACCGGTCTAAGTCGTAGACAAGATATACGGGTATATAGGGTTGAAGGCTGCCGAAGTTGGCTAAGTTGGCTAAAGTCTCTATGGAGGGATTCATTAGCCTGATCATATAAGGCTTGCATAATGCGATGAGCACATGAGTGTGAACGAGTGGGGAGTGGGGGTGAGGCTGACTATAATGGTTCTTCAGCTGCATATCAACGACACATCTCACGAGTTTTTACCGCTTTATCTCTGAATTTGGCCATGAGCATGATGACGCTTTACCGGTTACCCATCTTGTCCATTCATTGCTCGTCAGACGGATTCATATTATCGTCGCTATGCATGATGGTCCATAAGACCGGTATACATAAGGATAATCTCAGCCGTCTTATACATACGTGAAGAAAAAACGAAAATCATCTAATCAATGATATCTTATCATTACCTATTGGCATCTATCGAATGCCAATCAATTTTATAGTTTGCACTACCGACTTGACACATCGGGATCCTAAAATGGAGATGCAGTCATTGCTGAGCCACACTACAGGTTCTTTCGGACGAATCGTACAGATCTTTCGAACGGCTCTCGGGCTTGATCCATGAAATCCTCCGCTTTAATGGGTGATGGTGTGCAGTTTGCGGGATGCGTGGCATCATAGCGGTGGCTAATACGCTGCGTCGCAATTGATAGGCTGACAGGTTGAGTTGTGAGCGAGAGCCTAGAGGTGAACGGACGTTGATAGTGTCCCAGAACTTTCGATAGAGCTTAGAGGAGAACCATAAGATATATCAACAATGCCGCTTGTCAACTTCGAACATTAGATGAGACTGATGAAGTTAGTGCACCATCTTCTTTTTTCATGCCATGATTTTGCAAATAACAGATGTCGAAGAGGTCAGCATGATTTAGAGGATTAATTGATATATGTTTACTCTCAATATGGCAAACGAGAGTTCGCCACCTGGAATCATGCACCGTCTTTAGCCTTGGAGATCCAGTTAGGAGCTTTGTTATGCAGTCTTAATCCCGAAGAGCTGTACGGGGAAACCCCACTACTAGCGCTGTCAATGCTTATATTAATATTGATTAAAGTATCCCGGCAGATCATCTTCAAGAGGGAACCTTTATCCTAGTTCATGTCACTTACAAAACTATGAACGCCCTCCAAGCACTCAGTTATTGCGTCCGTCCAATTGAATTCTCTGTTATCCATGGAACATGCCGACTCTTCATCTGGAATCAAGCCATCGTCTGAGTCAAGACTTGTGAGATCGGAGGAGACATGACGTTGACGGTCGCAAGTGATGCCTCCTACAGTTGCAACCAGACGCTATATAGTATATAAGTCCCAAGTAGAGTGTATGTCTCGTACCTCCAGTACTAGATCCACGCATTAAACAGTCCAGTGTACCACTAATGAGCCACCCGTTGTAATCCTACCAAAGCATTTTCGATCTCACGCTCCCGGAAACAAAGCCCGCTAAGCCGCGGTATCCGCTCAGTGCGCGTTCTATAGAGCTCACGACCGGACTACGTTCATCAACTTGCAAGAAAAATTTATTTCTGAGCATAGCAATAGCTGAAGTAGATCTTCAATGCTTTGAGAGGATCTAGCTGAGACCACTGGCCGACCCGACTCAACCCACATCTATCTGTCCGAAGTTGTAGAGGAAAGCTCCTAGTGTCTCGGCATCCACTGTCGGAAGTCCCGTCGCATTGAGTGTCCATAGAAGAGCTGAGATTGAGCAAAGGGATCCATCTAGCCCTATTTCACGCATTGACTTTTACATCCGATCGTCACTATCTATCTTTACGAGAACTCAGATCAAGAAACTCGAGAGCTCTTCCTTGCGATGACTGAGCTTGCTTTCCAGGCTGAGCCATTCTTGACTACAATCCACGCGACGCTAGCCCATCACGTTGTTCTACCCCCTTCGTCTTGTCAAAAAGTAAGACACACATATTCTCCTTCCGATTTATTACCTCCGGTGACGATCCAATTTGTTTCTAGCAATCCTCGTGCGCTCAGGTTCCACTGTTCCACCCGATTGTGCGTTTTTTTGTCTCAGTTTCTCTCATCTTTCCGATGTGTCTCAGTCGCTCTGCCATTCCGAGACATGCTGACTATCTTCTTTTGGGTCATATTTTGCTACGGGTACATTGCTACCCTTTTGATTACGTATCTTCACGTCCAATCGTGAGTTTTTGAGATCAAGGAATCTCCAGGGAGAGATATGTGATCATCTTACACTTCCTATTCGGGCGAGTTCTCTTCCCATTTGGGAATTCTGGCCTGATGTGAATGAGTGTACAGCTTTTTGTATCACTCTAGATTTGGGATAACGTGGAAGTGCTTTTCTTTTCTTTCGCACGTGGTGAGACGAAATAAGAGATAGTATTGGAGGGTGTTTTTCTTCAAATTCCACATTGGGCGTGTCCCTTCCTCTCCCTAGTGAACGCCGGTTCGTGGAAGATAATCTGATGAGATTGCGCCACATACTTCATATTCTCCTAGAACTTCTCGAAAGAGAAATAAAGGGACAGGCATCAGGCAGATCATCATCTAGTACTATGTTCAACGAATATTCATTCCACGACTGATATCCTTGAATATTCTGCCTCACATAAAAATTTGTAGAATCCATCAGATTCACACTTTCAAATTTAATGATTATACAACATCTCAAAGTATTGAAGCTATGTACCTATCGCCAATCTTTCCCACCGTTCTCAATCTCCCTGTCTATTTCTCTTCATGCTCTCAGCCTCAAGCACAACTGCACACACCCGAAATCTTTGCAACCACCCCACTGCCGTCCGATCCTCATCCTCAATAGCTACACCATCATCAGGAACATGCCGAACTTCCCTGTCGCAGTTTTGTGTCGCCATGCAATGTAGAAGAATCTAATTTCTTTCCTGCATGGGCGACGGAGGGGTTAGACAGTTTTGAGAAAATCCTCCTACGCTTGTGATGCGTGACATATGTATGTAAGTCGACAGGTATGCAATGTTGATATTAAAACTTGAAAAGTACGCTAAGACTCACCGAGTTGTGGGAATTGGTGTAATCGATTTCTGGGAGATGGAAATGTAATCTTATATTCGTCGTTTACTCTTTTTGCAATTTTTATCTCCTGAAAACCGGAATCGTTCGTCTCGTATCATTTTTTGTATCCTTGGAAAGTAAGATACTAAACGTAAATACACACTGTGTCAAAATCAATTCTCACTCATTTCCTCAACCAAGCAAATACAAATTCTTGCAATAATCCACACACACACACACATTCTTCTAGTTCTACTCCCACGCAACAACCAACTCCATGTCCCATCCCCCGTACCTCCTCCAGATATCTCACCGAATACCGCCGCTGCACAACCCAGCAACTAGTGATCATTCTATTCCTCATGGTCACTTCTAAACGGCACATCGTATGTAATAGATATGTATGTCTGATACGTACCTACGTATATTCTAAGCTTACTTTTGTCTACCCCTACCCTGATTTCACTCGAGCAGCACAACATATATACATAATTACATATCTCCAGAATCCAGAATCCAGAATTAAGAGTCTATTTTCCGTTTTCCAAACTTCTCTGAAAGGCTAACGCCCACTTCACAAGTTCACCCAAATATTGCCTGAAGTGTAAATACACAATAGCATATACGATACATGATGTGCATCGCATTGCATCGCATCGCATTGCGTATCATACTTTCCCTTTCATTCGCATCTGCAAGACTGCACGAGTATGAAATTATCCACGCAGTGCAGTCACTACATGTCATATCCTAGGATAGATTACATAGCATAGCATAGCAAGCCCTTCACACCCACATACCCACATCCCTCTCCCTCTCCCAATCCTCTCTTCTCGTGTTTCCACCACTCTTGCATGCATACATGCACACACGCATATAAGTAATACCACACGTGAGGGTTCGAAACGGGGAGTTCGTCCATCCGCACACATATCAATCGATCCATCTACTCATCCAGCTAGCATAGCCTATTCTTTCCCTTCCCCAAGACCCGCATTCCCTATTCCAATCCTCACTACTCAACTCTTGCCCACCGGTCTCGGAGTCCGCACCCGAACACCAATTTCCCGGCCTCCAGCCTCTATCCATCTTTCAATTAATCCCAGCCACGACTTTACTCTCCCTATCCATCCATCCCTTCCACGAGAAAGACACCACCCATCGCATCCCCCCTTCTCACAAACCACAACCCGTAAACCCTCCAAATCCACACACCCACACCCACACCCACCCCATCAGCACCCCAGCCCCCTCCACCAACCACCAACCACACCCCGCACCACCAAGCACGGCATCAAACTCCCCGGCTACCCACATATCACACCCATCTCACACACACACTCCCAGTCCCTACCACAACCCCCATCCCACCTCGCACCACCTCCCCCGTCCCGTACACCCACCATGTACCTCCGTACCTTCGTACCATCATATATATAGAGAGACGAGGTACGTACCTACGCCTCTTCTCTCCCCCCTCCCGTGTTTGTAGTCCGTTATTTCCGTGTCTGTTCATGCGTTTGTTATTCCATTTCATTTTATTCTATCCCATCCCATCGTATCGTATCATATCACATCGTATTTCATGTGAGAAAGAAGGAATGGATGAGTAGGTGAACGAATTAAATTGCTGGGCATTAGAAAGCTACAAGCTACGTGTTTTTCTTCTTTTAAAATGCTTAAACATGCAATTGATACCATCATTTTTGCTATCGATGTTTATATTGTTTGATTTGAATGACATCATTCAACACATTATAATGAGGAATATCGGACGGGAAAAGATCTTTCTCACAAAAGAAATAATGTACCCGATGTGTGACCTCTTCAAGAATCACTTCATTGCGCCCACAACTACCTACTCATAAACATATAAACATCAAGATACTAGATGAGATGTAACAAATACATTTCAAAAATTTCCCCCGGATAAACTCAAAACTGCTCGAGATGATCCAATATTTGAACTCTTATACGGAATTTATTTTAGGAGGGTAGGAATTTCCTAGCCGGATCGCAGATTTTTATCAATATTACAGAGTGCAAGTATTACCGATTTAATGACAACATTGTTCCAATTCTACAGATTTCTAATTAAATCTGGCAATTTGTTATGAGAAGAGTGGCGACTGCCTATACAGGTACAAGTATGATGATTGCTAACCCCCTAAAATGATGTACCACAACGCCCATTCAGCAAGTAGTCCAGTACCCAAACGCGCGCCAGAACAGCAAATATAGACAAAAAGATAACATTGGCTTATATACTTTGTGCTTCAGCTCGAAACGCCAACTGTGATCATATCATGTTAAGGAAGCGAGAAAGGGCAATTTATTAGCGGATAATTTCCGTCAAGATTACACAACACAGTGCCGCCGGGAGATTTCGGATCTGATATGATTATCAAAATCACAAACGACTTTCAATACCCGCGAAATTCTCCTCTCCCGGCCAATGTGCTTCAGGCCAGACGTATCGCATTGCTTCCCAGATGTGTCTAGTGGCATGTTAGTCCTCGAATGAGAACAGATAAATGGATGAGATTATAGAGGAAATAAAAGTCATACCTGACGTGGATGATCTCTAGGCCATCCTTGACTTCTTGCGGGACGTCTTTGATACTGAACAGTGTTAGTGTGCTGGCTAAGTTGAGAGGAGAACTGCTTACTCCTTTCTATTGTTTGCTGGTAATAATACAGTCTTGACACCGGCACGGAGAGCTCCAATGAGCTTCTCCTTGATACCTCCTACGGCAGTAACACGTCCACGTAATGAGATCTCACCCTATAGAAGATATTAGTGCCCATGAACATACGAGTATTGCATACTGAGACTTACCGTCATTGCCATAGTTGGGGGCACAGCCTTGCCGGAAAACAATGAAATAAGTGCAATAGTGTGTGCCATACCGGCAGATGGGCCATCCTAGTCAATCCATTAGCGGATTATAACACAACATCATGGGAAAGCAAACCTTTGGGATAGCCCCTGAAGGACAGTGCACATGAATACTCCTCTTCTTCATGATGTTCTCCGATGGGTCATGCGTCAAACCCAGCTCGTACGCATGAGCTTTCACCCAGCTTAGTGCTACCTCGACACTCTCTTTTAGTACATCGCCCAATTTCCCTGTTAGCTGCACGCTACCGCTTCCTGGCATATCGGCCACTTCGATGAAAAGAATACTGCCGTTCCCACCAGAACTATAGGCCACGAGACCTGTGACTATCCCTGGACGACTTTTCTTGCAGTTAGTGTTTACATCCTTACATAAGCTTAAGCAAGGTAGTCTCAAATCCTAGAGACTAAAGATAGTAGATGGAGGGCAAACCTTGTCTTTTCGGCAATTTCTTCATCAAATTTCTCAATACCCAGGATTTCCTCGATATCTTCCACCGACAGCTTTGGATTGTAGTCTTCTGTAAAACTGGTCAGTATTCGCTGGCTAAAGATCATGCGGAAAGAGCCTCTACCCGTATGTCCCGAGTCCTTCGCCTCCGCATATTCTACCGCCTTGGCAC